CTGGTATCCAGATAGGCATCAGCAGCTTAACGGCTCATGCTAATTGTGTCAAGCAGCCCCCATGTATGATAAATTACCTTAACTGTGAAAATATCCCTTTTTTCTTTATATTCCCTTCTTCAGAAGACAGCAACAAATATCACTAGGTGGATTCAACTGAACCCAAAATACTTCATTTGAAATGCTGTAGATTCATACTTTTCCCCAATCGTGACTGGATTCCTGGTTGACTATTTCAGAGGGCCACACTGGGCAGAGTGCATCATATCTCAAGGCTCCCAGCTCTGGGTTAAGCTATAGGTCTAGCCCAGAGCTGAGGGCACACACCTTTCAGTGTTTCCAACTCTGCAGTCAGATAAGGCAGTGGGTGGGCAGGTATCTAGGTCACCACAGTAGTCATGGCCGAATTTCCAGATTTGGGTCCTGAAATCTTCTTAGGCCAGATCCAGCCAGAGCCTGGAAATCCTGGTGTGAACTCCCAAGATCTGCGTAAGCAGTTATCCAATAAAATATCAATCTAAAGCTATTGTTACGCATAACATGCCACTGTTCAAATTTTAAGCAGGCAGGGGCTGCATGCCACAGAGGCCACATCTGCTTGGGCTCCGGACACCCCTACCCCAACATGCAGTCGCCCCCACCCTCTGCTTCCTGGCTGCAGGTTTCCCCACTATTCTAGGCTGTGCCATGCCACACTGCTTTTGGGCCAGGAGCAGAAGTCAAAGCAGAAGGAGGGAGAACACCAGACCCCAAGCTGCTGCTGCAGCTCTAAAGATAGGGGGAGTGAAGTCCAGGGGCTGCAAATGAACCCCTTTCAGGCCACAGGCAGCCCATGGGCCACCAGTTGGGCAGTCCTGGTTTACTACATACAGACTGGTGCTTTTGCTGGCATGAGTAGGGATTTAAAAATGCAGTATCTAGCATGGTGTAAAAAAATAACACCCTACTCCCCCCCATAAAATATGGGTCTACATTCTTGTAAAAGAAACTATATTGTTTTAACTCTTCAAGTATAAAAAATGCTTTCCAAACAAAATCACTGCTTCAGATAGCTACATGTAGATTAATTATATTGTCTAGAATGTCCCTATTGAGCTATCTGACAAAGCAAGCTGATGCTTCTGAAAGCTTAAGCCTCTCTGAATTCATTAGTGTCACTGTGCCCTGGTTTCTGCCTGCTTTAGACTAACACTAACTACCCAGTCTGAACTAAACGGTGTCTGGGATGACAAAGGTAAACTATGTTCCCCCCACCCCAAAATTGCTAATTAGCCTCGAATCCTCTTAAAGAAACTTGAAAGCTCATATACTGATGAATTTAAAAAGAAGACAGAAAGAAGAGGAAGTTTCATACATCCCACCCTATTCTCCACTGCTGAGACACCAACTACACTGCACACTACTTTTGCCCTGACTTAAATCGGGAAAGATGCTTTCCCTCCCTCTCCCCCTTCCTCAACTGAGTTGATAGCTTTATTGAAAGCTAGGGGTGCACCGATAGAGATTTTTTGGGCTGATACCGATGGTCGATTTTAAGGAACCATAATCGGCCAATACCAATCCAATTCTGATATGCAGCTTGGCAACTTGGGAGACCAGCACTGGGCTGGTAATTTGGGGGGGGGAAGAGGGGGAGGAGGGGCAGATTGAGGCCCCCCATGGTGAGGGAAGGAGTAGGGCAGGGGCAGGCACTGCTCAGCTGGGGCATGAGACAGAGCTCCAGGCAAAAAAAAAAAAAAAAAAAAAAAAAAAGAAGCAATCTTCCAATACTGTCAGTTTTCCCTATATCGGTGTCAATCCGATATAGGACCAATGTATTGGTACAACTCTACTAAAAACATCATTTCATAAAGTGATGCAATATAATTTGGTCCTAGCTGTGCCACTGCCTGCATTTTTACCAAATCAAGTTAATAACTGACCTTATTTAGCTTTGTCTTTTATGACAGGGGGAAGGAAGGATGGCTATGTTTACCAAGTCACTAAATTTTGGCAAATTTGGCAGTTTTAACCTGTGTTAGTTGATAAGATTTCAGTGTTCAGTCACAGTTACGTTGCATTATATTAGGTACACGGTTGCTTGCATTTTATTGCAAACATGTTCAAACACTTTTTCTTGGGGAAAAAAGTAACTACTATATTGACATTAGGATTGAAAGGTGTTATTTAATTGGCTAAGGTAGCTGGCCTAGAAAGACCCAAGCATGTTGCCAGTAGTTTACCTTAAACTGCAACTTGTCAGACAGATGCCTTGCAGGTCACCATGATTCACTGATGAGCAGCAATAGAAGGAAGGAAGGAAGGAGGAAGCTGGTGCATCGCTGGTAGGAAGTCAGACACAAGTACTTCAGTGTAAGTTTTTCCTGAAACCACAAGCCACAGCTCTGGTAAAGACTGTGGTTATCTCTGCCCACAGGAACCAGAGTGGATAAATCAGTTTTGTTTTATATTTATTTAAATTAAATTTAAAATTATTACAACGTGCACTGAAGGAAAACATATGCTATAAACTATTATTATAATAATTTCAACTAAATAAAACATTCAAACAGTATATGTTTTTTGTGAAGTTTAAAGAAAGCCCAAACCACTGAGGTGAAGGACATCAATGGCCGAGTGCCTGGAATTATTTTGTAGAAAAGCAGCTTCAGAAAGCAGTTGCTTCTTTGGAAGGTGCAGAGAAAATAGTTTCTTTTATTTGAGTAATTTGTTTTACTCTAAACTGAAAAACCAACTAGGAGCTGAAATAGCTCATTTTTATTTGCATAAATGAAAGATGTGTGTGTGAAGATGAGAACTACTAGTTCTAAGATCTTGAAGGATAGGTTTACCAAAAGTAGAGGTTGAGTCTGGCATAGTCTCTCTTTAATGTACTGTTTGTTTTTGTAGACAAGGGAAATGGATCAAGTCTATCCAGGCTTCAATAAAACATATGTTGTATCACAACAGGGAAAATAAATTAAGATGAAAAAGTGTGGATTACTGCAAGGATTGTAAAGTTGGCATGAAAGTGATTAAGGAAGGCATTTGACTAGAGGGAAGATAATAGTGCAGTTCTCCAGAATTAGTTTTTGGACCAATCTGATTTAACATTTTCATTAATGACCTTTGTACCTGACGTAGGAGCACAGTAATAAAGTTTGGTAACGACAAATTAATCAAACATTGCCAATACAAAACAGAATAATAATATCATGCAGGAAAAATTGGATTATCTTGAAGGATAGAAAAATAGAAATGGGATGAAGTCTGATACTATGAAATGCATAGTCATACATTTAGAGACTAACAAGAATTTCTGCTATGAACTAGCAGCTCATTCACTGGAAACGGCAGAAGAGAAAAAATACCAGGGTGGAGCTGTCAGCTCCGGGATAACTATGACCTACCAATATGACACAAGTATGATAAAGGCAAATGCAATCCTAAAACGTATTACGTGAGGTATATCCTGTAGAGCTGGGTAAGCATGAATATAATCGTACAAGACACCGATGAGAGAGATCCTGTGAGAACTGCATATAATGCTGGTTCCTCATGTTCAAGAAAGCTGAATTCAAACTTGAACAGGTACAGAAAAGGGCTACTAGGATGACCAGGGGAATGTACAAAGAAAAAAAGTTAGGTCTCAAACACCAAGAGGAAATGCTGCTTTCTAAACACAGCTGAGGGGTTAACACCAGGAAGAAATGCTATTTAAAAGACAATATTGACACAGAACAAATGAATATATAATACTGTATATGCATGCTGTGAACAAATTTAGGAGTAGAAATGTAAAGGTTTGACTATTGTCAGAATCAGGTCCTGGAAAAGCAAAAGCAATTCTATGTTCAAGTTCTATCTTGAGACTGTTCAACTTAGGCAATCATGTCATACAATTCCTTTTGTGTCATAAGCAGGGACTGGACTTGACCCTGGAGCCCCTTCCAGGCCTTATTATAGCACCTAGAAGTTACTAGCTCATAACTGTTGATAGTACCACATTTAATATGTTAGCTTTAAATGCAGGGAGTTTTGATTAAAGAAAGGTATAAATTAAAACGTGAAGAGTACAAATTGAAAAAACACCAATGAATTCTGATTTCCAGTCAAATGTAGCTTGATGAAAGCCATGAAAAAAAAAAAAAATCTATACCATGCAAGACTAGTCTAACAAAAAAAGGGGAGACAGAAGAACTCAAAAAAAAAAAAATGTACTTGTAAATTTGGGCATGGATGATGCATTCTTCTGCTTAACAGAAAGTACAACCAAGTTTAAGTGCAAGTTAACATATCTTAATGGTTACGAACCAATGGGAATCAACCTTTATTTACTAAAAGAACTAAAGAATATAACTGCAAATTAAAATCAGTAATTTAAAGCAGAGCTGCCTATTTGCCAATTTAAATTATGACTAAACTGGCAATTAAAATCACTCCTGCTTTACAGACATTCATAGCAGAAAGGAGTCAGCAACCTATGACCCAGGGCTGCAGAGCCTTTGGATCTGGCCACCAGGAGCTTCAACCTAGGGGGAGCTCTGTCCACATGCCACTGCAGCCAGGTGCCAGCAGAGGTGGCCAGGTCCAAGCTGGATCATTCCACACCCTAGACCAGTGGTTCTCAACCTTTTTTGTACCAGGACTCATTATTAAACATCGACGGCCAGTCCCAACCCAGTGCCCCTCATTCTTGACCCACTGCTTCCCACCCCCAGACCCCAGTCCTCCAGTGCGTGAGGCATGGCCCCGCCCCTCAAGTAGCCTGAACTGATCTCTACACCAGAAGCATACTCTGCTTGTAGCAGGAAACTGGCAAAAACGTCAAGAGAAGTATTTTGCAAATACCCTTGCCTCACATCAGAGGTACAGGAAATTTAAGATGAAACTCACGTTTTCCTCATATATGATACGTTGATGGAGCAAAACATTTTAAAGGAGCTAAAACATATTAAAGCCACTTTAGCTGAACCACCAAGTGGCTTGAGCAAAAGATGGTAAACAGAATTGATCATGAGTTACTTGTGTGCTCTTTCCTTTAAAAGGAATGAAAAAAATAGAGGAGAAAAAAACAAGATGGCAAAAGCTTCAGATGGTTTGTAGAAAGAGAAGAAAGAAGCAAGGAAAAACAGTGACACTTATGCAATGCATTCTTCAAGAAAAGCGGGGGAAGGGAAGTGAGAGAAAAGCTAGAGCCCTCTGCTGCTTTTCCTAATAGACAGGGAGCAAGAACCAGACTTGCCCACATGAAAGACCGACTAATGTGGGCCAGTGGCCCCAAACAGAAGGTAGTCACAGAAAACTAGGGCTGGAAGGGACCTCTAGTCCAACCCTTGCCTGAGGCAGCATAATCCCTATCCAAACCGTCCCCTACAACCATAATCTAACCTCTTTATAAGACTACCCTCATCTTTAACACAACATAGACCTAACACCCTAACCTGCCTCAGGTAAGGCAGGGGAACCACAGCAACCTCCAGAGTCCATGCCAGTCTGACCATGGGGTAGAATTCCTTCCTGACCCCAAATAGGACAAGCGGTCTGACCCCGAACAGAGGAGCACAACCCTCTAGCCAGGAACCTCCAGCTTTGCTCCTAGCAGGAGAATCAACAGACCCCAGCTGAAGTCCTCAGCCTCAGCTGCAGCCAACACTAGTGTCTCTGGGGAGGCTTAAAAACACTTTGACACATAAAAAAGGGGGGTGGGCGAAGAGGAGCATGCAGAAGCAACCAGCAAAGCCGAGAAGCATAGGCAATACCCATGGTAGAAAACAGGCAAAGCTACACCTAGATCATCCCAGCCAGTTGCTGTTCAACCTCTTGTTGAACACCTCCAGTGATAGAGTCCACAACTTCTCTAGGCAGTCTACTCTACAGCCTCAGTATTCACACAGTGAAGAAGTTTTTCCAGATATCCAATCTAAATTTACTTTGCTGCAACGTCAAGCCATTGCTCTGTGTCCTCCTCTCTGCAGCAAGCAAGAAAAGGTGCTTTCCCTCTTATATATTCACCCATCAATGATAAAAAGTATGAATTGCAGGAGAGGGTGAGCGCTCAATTCCTTAATATAGGGAGAAGGGGTACAGCATGAGGATTCAGAAACAGGGAGGTGTGCTCGCACACATGTATGCGAGTGTGAGTGTAAAAATAACTGAGATTACAGGAAGCAGAGAGGTTAATACCAACACGTGGGTATTTGTGACCGAGACATCTTATGTACGCAAGACTGACTGAAGTATTTCCAGGACAATTTCCACAGCTCCTCCCTTCATTACAACCAAATGACAGATACCTTTAAAACCAAATTAAATACTTGACTACAACTCTTGCGATCCAAACCCTGAAGCACTAGAAGCTTTAAAGTCAAACTGACTTCACTCTGTTCAAGTTGAGAAATGGAACAAGGCACAGTGAAAAGCCAAATTCTCTAAACTGATTACTTAAAATTGAATTAAAGCCTGTAATTGAATTGTTATAGATACAGATTTACACCAGCAGAGCCAACTCCAAAACAGAGGTGTGTGATGTTAGTGGTCTTTACAAGAAACTACTTTTAAAATCAGGATGCTATTGACACTTCCTTCTCCCCCAAACATTTTATGATGATGATCATCATATTATTACAAAGATCATCTAAGCTTCATAACATTAAATTATTAGAAAGTGGGGCACACACACACTCTTCCTATCCTATTCTGGGCCCAGTTCATTTACTTGGGACAACTGGCAGCACTTAATAGATTGTTAATTTCCCATTTGTTTATTCCACAGGGCAACTCTTACCAGGCCCATGCTGCTATAAAATAAAAATAAATAAGTGATAAGAACAGATGCAGACAGAGCTATCTTTAACTCACTATTTTTGAACTAGTAAGATGGTTGCAGTCTCTAAGGAGTCCTAATCTGCCTAGTTAAAACCAGTGTGTTGATGGAAAGAGAAGGAGAGTTAAATCAAGCGGCTTGAGCCAAAGAAAGCACACAGAGCAGATCGAGTCATTTGCAAGCTAGCTTGATTCCAACCCTGAGAAAGCCAGGTGTGCATCCAGAGTGGTTCATAGACACCTCTGACACATGCCCCTTCTGTGAACAGAGCGAGACCCTGGCACATGCCTACCTGGAGTGCGCCAGGCAACAGCTCCTTCACTGCCTCCTCCAGAACCTCAGCAGCAGGTTGCACAACTCCCTGCACCTTTTTATTTATGCACTCCCCATCCGCAGCCCCACCAAATCCCAGGACCTCCTGGTCAACCCCTTTCCTGCCCTGGCTAAGCTAACTAACTGTCTAAAGAGAAAGGAGACCCTGGCTGGGAGGACCCCTGGGGACTGTGAGGCTGCTTTCCCATCTCCTGTCCATTCACATCTCCAGGCCACCAG